TTCCATCATTGAGGCTGGCATGCCGGATGAGGAACCCTTTTTGTTATTAACAAACGACCGTATCTTCTTTGGTTTCCTCAGATAAGCTCTGTAACACTCTGTAATCAGTAGCTATCAATTTCTATTGTACATTTACACACTATGATGATATTTTTTTTCTATCGCTGTCAAATTTGTATGTCATTCATCTATCCTAAATGGATATGTAACGTCAAAAAAAAAACTGAAAAAATTTCATTTCGCGCCTTCTCCATTCGCCACGATCGACTCGGGGTTTAATTTTGAAATTCCAGCCACGCGAATACCAATGTCTGGTGGTGATTTAGGATGGGATTGTTTACAGAAAGTAAATTGTTTTTAAACAAGAAATCTTAACGATTCATTTTTGATTTCCAGAATATCGAGTTATACAAAAAATCGGAGAAGGATCATTTTCGGAAGTTCTTAAATGTCAAGAGAAAATAACGGGTCATCTTTATGCTGCTAAACGATTAAAGAAACATTTTAAAAGGTTAAAAAAATCTTAAAAAAAAAATTGATGTACTAATTTTTAATTTCTAGTCCATCGGATGCAATGAATTGTGCCGAGGTGGTGGCAATGCATAAATTAACAAGACACCCAAACGTGGTTTACATGATGGATTTTTTTTAGTAGGTACTCAATAATCAAAACCTACTTCCGTCGATATATTAAAAAAATTCTTCATTTTTCCCCAAATTTAGCGATACAAATCTAGGATCGTTAACGTACGTTTTTGAATTGATGGATTTGAGTATGTACGATTTTATGAAGTTGAAACGGCGCCCGTTCGCCGAGTCAAGAGTGAAGTGGTATTTGTATCAAATCTTAAAAGGTTTGGAACATTTACACAAGAACGGACTGTTTCATCGCGACATAAAACCGGAAAATATTCTCGTCAAATTGAATCCGGACGGAAACAAATCGGATTCGGGAGGAGGCGGATTTCCGTCGGAAATCGTCAAATTAGGTGATTTAGGATCTATAAGAGGCGTTTATAGTCGACAACCTTACACCGAATACATTTCAACCAGATGGTATCGATCGCCTGAGTGTTTATTATCGGTTGGATATTATGGACCGAAAATGGATATTTGGGCTGCTGGATGTGTTTTTTACGAAATGTTAACGTAAGCAAAAAAATAGTATTTATTAGGTATAGTAGAGGTAAAGAATTTGATTTAAAATTCGATTTTCTGGCTGTTTATGGGAATAAATTGATATTTTTGAGGTTATGCCAGAAATACTTGGTGTAATTTTAAACAAAACTACTTTAATAACAACATCCCTTAAAGTTACTTAAAGAAAATTAAAAATTTTAAATAATAATAATAATCACCCTGTATATTTTTATAACTTTGTCTCTGTGGAAGACGAAATATTATCAGCATCGAAATATGTTTCAAATAAATCTTGTTTGAAATTTGATTTGAAATCGATTATCTTAATAAATTTTTTTTGTATCTCCCCTAGATGGAGCTGTATATAGGTATAAAATTGATATTTTTGAGGTTATTTCAGCAATACTTGGTGTAACAACAAACTATTTTAATCAAAATACGCTCAAAATTACTTTAATATCAACATATTTTAAATTTATTCAAAAAAAGGTAAAAATTTAAAAAAAATTAATCACCCTGTATATTTTTATGACTTTATGTCTCTGTGGAAGACGAAATCTGATTAGTATCGAAAAATGTTTCAAATGAATCTTGTTTGGAATTTGATTTGAAATCGATTATCTTAATAATTTTTTTTTGTATCTCCCCTAGATGGGGCTGTATATAGGTATAAAAATTGATATTTTTGAGGTTATTTCAGCAATACTTGGTGTAATAACAAACTATTTTAATTAAAACACGCTCAAAATTACTTTAATAACAACATATTTTAAATTTACTCAAAAAAAGTTAAAAATTAAAAAAAATTAATCACCCTGTATATTTTTATGACATTATGTCTCCGTGGATGACGAAATCTGATTAGTATCGAAAAATGTTTCAAATAAATCTTGTTTGGAATTTGATTTGAAATCGATTATCTTAATAAATTTTTTTTGTATCTCCCCTAGATGGGGCTGTATATAGGTATAAAAATTGATATTTTTGAGGTTATTTTACCAATACTTGGTGTAACAACAAACTATTTTAATTAAAACACGCTCAAAATTACTTTAATAACAACATATTTTAAATTTACTCAAAAAAAGATAAAAAATTAAAAAAAATTAATCACCCTGTATATTTTTATGACATTATGTCTCCGTGGAAGACAAAATCTGATTAGTATTGAAAAATGTTTCAAATAAATCTTGTTTGGAATTTGATTTGAAATCGATTATCTTAATAATTTTTTTTTGTATCTCCCCTAGATGGGGCTGTATATAGGTATAAAAATTGATATTTTTGAGGTTATTTTAGCAATACTTGGTGTAATAACAAACTATTTTAATTAAAACACGCTCAAAATTACTTTAATAACAACATATTTTAAATTTACTCAAAAAAAAATAAAAATTAAAAAATAATTAATCACCCTGTATATTTTTATGAATTTATGTCTCCGTGGAAGACGAAATCTGATTAGTATCGAAAAATGTTTCAAATGAATCTTGTTTGGAATTTGATTTGAAATCGATTATCTTAATAAATTTTTTTTGTAGCTCCTCTAGATGGGGCTGTATATAGGTATAAAAATTGATATTTTTGAGGTTATTTTAGCAATACTTGGTGTAACAACAAACTATTTTAATCAAAACACGCTCAAAATTACTTTAATAACAACATATATTAAATTTACTCAAAAAAGATAAAAATTAAAAAAAATTAATCACCCTGTATATCTTTATGACATTATGTCTCCGTGGAAGACGAAATATTATCAGCATCGAAAAATGTTTCAAATAAATCTTGTTTGGAATGTTATTCTAAATCGATTATCTTAATACATTTTTTTTGTATCTCCCCTAGATGGGGTTGTATATAGGTATAAAAATTGATATATTTGAGGTTATTTCAGCAATACTTGGTGTAATAACAAACTATTTTAATTAAAACACGCTCAAAATTACTTTAATAACAACATATTTTAAATTTACTCAAAAAAAGTTAAAAATTAAAAAATAATTAATCACCCTGTATATTTTTATGAATTTATGTCTCCGTGGAAGACGAAATCTGATTAGTATCGAAAAATGTTTCAAATGAATCTTGTTTGAAATTTGATTTGAAATCGATTATCTTAATAAATTTTTTTTGTATCTCCCCTAGATGGGGTTGTATATAGGTATAAAAATTGATATTTTTGAGGTTATTTCAGCAATACTTGGTGTAATAACAAACTGTTTTAATTAAAACACGCTCAAAATTACTTTAATAACAACATATTTTAAATATACTCAAAAAAAGATAAAAAATTAAAAAAAAATTAATCACCCTGTATATTTTTATGACTTTATGTCTCCGTGGAAGACGAAATCTGATTAGTATCGAAAAATGTTTCAAATGAATCTTGTTTGGAATTTGATTTGAAATCGATTATCTTAATAAATTTTTTTGTATCTCCCCTAGATGGGGCTGTATATAGGTATAAAAATTGATATTTTTGAGGTTATTTCAGCAATACTTGGTGTAATAACAAACTATTTTAATTAAAACACGCCCAAAATTACTTTAATAACAACATATTTTCAATATACTCAAAAAATAATAAAAATTAATCACCCTGTATATTTTTATGACATTATGTCTCCGTAGAAAATGCAATATTATCAGTATCGAAAAATGTTTCAAATAAATCTTGTTTTGAATTTGATTTGAAATCGATTATCTTAATAAATTTTTTTTGTATCTCCCCTAGATGGGGCTGTATATAGGTATAAAAGTTGATATTTTTGAGGTTATTTCAGCAATACTTGGTGTAATAACAAACTATTTTAATTAAAACACGCTCAAAATTACTTTAATAACAACATATTTTAAATTTACCCAAAAAAAGTTAAAAATTAAAAAAAATTAATCACCCTGTATATTTTTATGACTTTACGTCTTTATGGAAGACGAAATCTGATTAGTATCGAAAAATGTTTCAAATAAATCTTGTTTGGAATTTGATTTGAAATCGATTATCTTAATAAATTTCTTTTGTATCTCCCCTAGATGGGGCTGTATATAGGTATAAAAGTTGATATTTTTGAGGTTATTTCAGCAATACTTGGTGTAACAACAAACTATTTTAATCAAAATACGCTCAAAATTACTTTAATATCAACATATTTTAAATTTACTCAAAAAAAGGTAAAAATTTAAAAAAAATTAATCACCCTGTATATTTTTATGACTTTATGTCTCTGTGGAAGACGAAATCTGATTAGTATCGAAAAATGTTTCAAATAAATCTTGTTTGGAATTTGATTTGAAATCGATTATCTTAATAATTTTTTTTTGTATCTCCCCTAGATGGGGCTGTATATAGGTATAAAAATTGATATTTTTGAGGTTATTTTAGCAATACTTGGTGTAATAACAAACTAATTTAATTAAAACACGCTCAAAATTACTTTAATAACAACATATTTTAAATTTACTCAAAAAAAGAGAAAAATTAATCACCCTGTATATTTTTATGATATTATGTCTCCGTAGAAAATGAAATATTATCAGCATCGAAAAATGTTTCAAATAAATCTTGTTTGGAATGTGATTCGAAATCGATTATCTTAATAAAAATTTTTTGTATCTCCCCTAGATGGGGCTGTATATAGGTATAAAAATTGATATTTTTGAGGTTATCTCAGCAATACTTGGTGTAACAACAAACAAATTTAAACAAAACACGCTCAAAAATACTTTAATAACAACATCTCTTAAAGTTACTCAAAAAAAGTTAAAAATTAAAAAAAGATGAATCACCCTGTATATTTTTATGACTTTATTATCAGTATCGAAAAATGTTTCAAATAAATCTTGTTTGGAATTTGATTCGAAATTGATTATCTTAATAAAAATTTTTTGTATCTCCCCTAGATGGGGCTATATATAGGTATAAAAATTGATATTTTTGAGGTTATCTTAATAATTGTTGGTTGTATTGAAAAATTTCTCAAACAATATTTACTTAGAATTAACTAAGCAATAATTTTTGTTTGAAACATTTTTCAATATTGTTGCTTGTTGGCGCTGTGTACTCTTATAAAAGTTATAATTTCCCTCTGAACAGTACAGTTCAAAGCAAACTATTTTTAGGTTCCATCCCCTTTTTCCCGGATCAAACGAAATAGATCAACTAGCGAAGATCCACGCGATCTTAGGAAGTCCCAGTAACAGATTGGTTACAAAAATCAAAAAGAAATCTCATAACTGCCAACATTTTCCACGGCAAATCGGTTGCGGTTTAAAAATTATGATGAATAGCTTTTCCGAGGAGGCACACATTATTTTAAAGTTGATGGTAAATTTGATGGTAATGATAATAATATATAAAGTTAATATCAACATGTATTTTTTAGCTCCAATACGACCCTGAAACCCGAATAAACGTCCGTCGATTAATAGAAAACCGTTATTTCGCCTCTGTGCGTCAATATTATCTCATTTACCAATTCAAATTTAACGCGATTCAAAATCAAAGGGATTTGGAAAGGTGTAGCAAGGGCAGGGGTGATCAAAAAACCCCGACGAATTGTCCCACTTCGACTTCAGATCAATGGAAACCCCCGAAAGTAATTAATTCACTCATAAATTAATCTCTTTTATTAAAAAAAAAAAATTAATTTAGTTTCAAAACATGAATAAAAATGACGCGAAACCACTCAATAAGAATCTAGTTGAAAAAGAAGGTGAAACTGTTATAGTCAAAAAAGATGGATCAATTCAAAGCATTCTTTCATCAATGGAAAGCATTTCAACGTTGAAAAGTATAGGTGCAATGGACAGCGTTTCAACGATGCGAAGTGTTTCAACAATGATAAGAAGTGCTAAGAAAGATTTGGAAAAGCTAACGGACGAGGAAATGTTGAAGAGAAAGTTGGAAGCCACGAGAAGATATTACGTCCATAAATGTCAACAGACGATTAAATCGCATCCGCCGAACGAAACGTACAGAAAAACCACGTCGAACCTACCGAACATTTTCAGCAGCAAGACTAAAACGGTACCGGAACATTCGAAACAGAAACAGTTTTATTCAAAATCGCTCGTTATCCCGCGAAAAGCCAAACACAAAATCGATTGTGTCAATGAGAATTGGATCGAAAAGGTCATAAAAGTAAATTTAAATGCTAAAAAGTGAGATGTTTGTATTTTGAAATGTTGGGGTAAAAAATAAAAGTAAAAATTNCACAAAATCGATTGTGTCAATGAGAATTGGATCGAAAAGGTCATAAAAGTAAATTTAAATGCTAAAAAGTGAGATGTTTGTATTTTGAAATGTTGGGGTAAAAAATAAAAGTAAAAATTTTAAAAAAAATTAATTTACAGTTTTAGTTAGTCGATTTAAATTTATTAAAACATTCTATTGATTTTTAGAACTAATGTTAATATTCAGCGTTATGTTGCGTATTTCTTTGAACTGTCACTAAAACTAACTTTAGACCTAGAACTAGAAACATTCGAGTTTAGCCAAACGTCTCTAAAGACGGCTAAACCCGAATGGTTCTAGTTATAGATTTATTGTTAGTTCTAGCGACAATTAAAAAAAATAGAATCTAGCACTATTTAGCACTATCACTAGAACTAACACTAACCCTAGAACTAGAAACATTCGGGTTTAGCCGTCTTTAGAGACGTTGGGCTAAATCCGAATGGTTCTAGTTCTAGGGTTTAGTGTTAGTTCTAGTGACAATTAAAAAAAAAATAGAATCTAGCACTATTTAGCACTGTCACTAGAACTAACACTAAACTTAGAACTAGAAACATTCGGGTTTAGCCGTCTTTAGAGACGTTCGGNGAAAAGCTAACGGACGAGGAAATGTTGAAGAGAAAGTTGGAAGCCACGAGAAGATATTACGTCCATAAATGTCAACAGACGATTAAATCGCATCCGCCGAACGAAACGTACAGAAAAACCACGTCGAACCTACCGAACATTTTCAGCAGCAAGACTAAAACGGTACCGGAACATTCGAAACAGAAACAGTTTTATTCAAAATCGCTCGTTATCCCGCGAAAAGCCAAACACAAAATCGATTGTGTCAATGAGAATTGGATCGAAAAGGTCATAAAAGTAAATTTAAATGCTAAAAAGTGAGATGTTTGTATTTTGAAATGTTGGGGTAAAAAATAAAAGTAAAAATTAAAAAAAAAAAAATTAATTGATAGTTTTAGTTAGATGCTAAATATTTTATTGATTTTTAGAACTAGTGTTAGTTCGAGTTTTAATTGATATTCAGCGTTAGGTTGTATATTTTTTTTGAACTGTCACTAGAACTAACTTTAGACCTAGAACTAGAAACATTCGGGTTTAGCCGTTTTAAGAGGCTAAATCCGAATGGTTCTAGTTCTAGGTTTAGTGTTAGTTCTAGTGACAATTAAAAAAAATAGAATCTAGCACTATTTAGCACTGTCACTAGAACTAATACTAACCCTAGAACTAGAAACATTTGGGTTTAGCCGTCTTTAGAGACGTTCGGCTAAACCAGAATGGTTCTAGTTCTAGGTTTAGTGTTGGTTCTAGTGACAATTTAAAAAAAATAGAATCTAACACTACTTAGCACTGTCACTGGAATTAACACTAACCCTAGAACTAGAAACATTCGGATTTAGCCGTCTTTAGAGACGTTCGGCTAAACCCGAATGGTTCTAGTTCTAGGTTTAGTGTTAGTTCTAGTGACAATTTAAAAAAATAAAGAATCTAGCACTATTTAGCATTGTCACTAGAACTAACACCAACCTTAGAACTAGAAACATTCGGGTTTAGCCGTCTTTACAGACGTTCGGCTAAATCCGAATGGTTCTAGTTCTAGGTTTAGTGTTAGTTCTAGTGACAATTAAAAAAAAATAGAATCTAGCACTATTTAGCACTGTCACTAGAACTAACACTAACCCTAGAACTAGAAACATTCGGGTTTAGCCGTCTTTAGAGACGTTCGGTTAAACCTGAATGGTTCTAGTTCTAAGTTGAGTGTTAGTTCTAGTGACAATTTAAAAAAATAAAGAATCTAGCACTATTTAGCACTGTCACTAGAACTAATACTAACCCTAGAACTAGAAACATTCGGGTTTAGCCGTCTTTACAGACGTTCGGTTAAACCCGAATGGTTCTAGTTCTAAGTTTAGTGTTAGTTCTAGTGAAAATTAAAAAAAATAAATAATCTAGCACTATTTAGTACTGTCACTAGAACTAATACTAACCCTAGAACTAGAAACATTCGGGTTTAGCCGTCTTTACAGACGTTCGGCTAAATCCGAATGGTTCTAGTTCTAGGTTTAGTGTTAGTTCTAGTGACAATTAAAAAAAAACAGAATCTAACACTATTTAGCACTATCACTAGAACTAATACTAACCCTAGAACTAGAAACATTCGGCTTTAGCCGTCTTTAGAGACGTTCGGCTAAACCGGAATGGTTCTAGTTCTAAGTTTAGTGTTAGTTCTAGTGACAATTAAAAAAAATAAATAATCTAGCACTATTTAGCACTGTCACTAGAACTAATACTAACCCTAGAACTAGAAACATTCGAATTTAGCCGTCTTTAGTGACGTTCGGCTACACCGTATGGTTCTAGTTCTAAGTTTAGTGTTAGTTCTAGCGATAATTTAAAAAAATAAAGAATGTAGCACTATTTAGCACTGTCACTAGAACTAACACTAACCCTAGAACTAGAAACATTCGGGTTTAGCCGTCTTTAGAGACGTTCGGCTAAATCCGAATGGTTCTAGTTCGAGGTTTAGTGTTAGTTATAGTGACAATTTAAAAAATAAAGAATCTAGCACTATTTAGCACTGTCACTAGAACTAATACTAACCCTAGAACTAGAGACATTCGTGTTTAGCCGTCTTTAGAGACGTTCTGCTAAACCAGAATGGTTCTAGTTCTAGGTTTAGTGTTGGTTCTAATGACGATTTAAAAAAAATAGAATTTAACACTACTTAGCACTGTCACTAGAACTAACACTAACCCTAGAACTAGAAACATTCGGATTTAGCCATCTTTAGAGACGTTCGGCTAAACCCGAATGGTTCTAGTTCTAAGTTTAGTGTTAGTTCTAGTGACAATTTAAAAAAATAAAGAATGTAGCACTATTTAGCACTGTCACTAACCCTAGAAGTAGAAACATTCGGGTTTAGCCGTCTTTAGAGACGTTCGGCTAAACCCGAATGGTTCTAGTTCTAAGGTTAGTGTTAGTCCTAGTGACAATTTAAAAAAATAAAGAATCTAGCACTATTTAGCACTGTCACTAGAACTAATACTAACCCTAGAAGTAGAAACATTCGGGTTTAGCCGTCTTTAGAGACGTTCGGCTAAATCCAAATGGTTCTAGTTCTAGGTTTAGTGTTAGTTCTAGTGCTAGTGTTAGCTGTAACTATTAAAAAACGCAACAGAGTGGATAACTTCTCGAATTTGTGTGTATTAAAATGATTCTTTTGTTCAAAACAGACCTATGACGTTGAAAAATTGTTCAAAATGACTGAAAATTAATTGGTAATGTTGAGAACTTGTCTAAATGATTACAAAATGATCTATAGCTATTCCAAGTTGTTCAACACCATATGAAACAGCATCTACTTTCGTTCAAAACAAGTCTATAACGTTGCAAAATTTTTCAGTGATTAAAACTTGGTTGATAACGTTTAAAATATTGTCTAAATGATTGCAAAATGACTTATAGCTTATGTCAGGTAGTTCTAAATAATTACAATTTGTTGGGGCCAAATTTTGGTAACTAATGGCATAACGTTTTGTAATGGAATAACTTATACTAACTGGAAGCCAGGGAAACATCATACTATTCTCAAAAAGAGACAGTTTTATACTGTATCAATTTGCCAAGTATCAAATCTGTAGTAGTTATAGTTTAAAAGAAAAAACGTAGAGTCCCAAAAAATTTCAACATTCTGTATCTCGAAAACGGTTGATTTTCGGACCCATGTTGATTAACACTTTTCGATTGTAGTACTATCCCTATAAATATTTAAACGTTGTTTTAAAACACCCTGTATATCATTGGAAATTGGTTGCCAGCTCTTTATAACTATTAAAAAATGCAACGGAGTGGATAGCATTTCGAATTTGTGTGCATTTTTTTGTTCAAAACAAACCTATAACGTTGCCAAATTCCTCAAAACGATTGAAAATTAGTTGGTAATGTTTGAAAACTTGTCTAAATAATTACAAAATGATCTATAGCTATTCCAAGTTGATCAAAACCACATGAATCACCATCTAATGTCGTTCAAAACAAGTCTATAACGTTGCAAAATTTTTCAAAGTGATTAAAACTTAGTTGATAATGTTTAAAATATGCCAGGTTGTTTTAAATAATTACAAACTTGATGGTGATCTTGATACAATGTCTAAATGCTTAATATCTGGTTCACAGCTATGAAAGTTATTTAAAATGATTAAAAAATTGATAAGTATCATTGAAAGTTTGTCTAAATGGTTAAAAACTAGCTGGTTAAGATTGAAAATTTGTGTATATTATTAGAAACTGTTTCCTAGCAATGCCAGCTCAGTGACTTTTTTGTTCAAAACAAACCTATAACGTTGCAAAATTGTTTAAAATGATTGAAGATTAATTGGTAATGTTTGAGAACTAAATAATGACTAAGTAATGTCTAAATGATTGCAAAATGATTTATAGCTATGCGAGGTTGTTCTAAATAATTACAAACTTGTTGGTGATCTTTGGTACAATGTCTAAATGCTTAATATCTGATTCACAGCTATAAAAGTCATTCAAAAGCCGTCTTTAGAGACGTTCGGCTAATCTATTCAAACAGTATGTATAGAAGTGATACAAGTAAAAATATATCAGATTCCAAAAAAATGAAGAGAAAGATGATGAAATGAACGTTGAAAACTAGCAATTTCATCAGACGAATCTGTCGTAATTTAGATTAGATCAACTTATTATGATTATTATCATCAAGCCATTGTTGGGCTTTGCCACAATGTTGACCACATCATTTGCGCAGTTCTTCATAGGTCTTCATTTCGGTTTTTACATTACTTTGACCCTCCTGGCAGTGGTTGCCGTTAATATTAATGTTTCGAAGCCGTATATCATCTTTCTGGTTAGTTCGCTATCATAATTATCAACCTTCTCAATATCATTATCATTATTAATATTGACTTCAAATTTATTAAATATAGCAAGTTAAGAAGTTTTTCCGTTTTATTTTTTAAATGTTTCACTTACAACATGGATCTACACTCTAAATCAATGTTTATGCCTTTTTGGGCCCAATCCAATTGTTTAAATGCATTCTCCAGGACTGTGATGAACAATTTGGGTTCAACATTGTATCACTTTGTTTTATTCATACTCAGTACTTCAGTACTTCTACTCTCTTCAGTAGCTTTATGCAATTTTACCGTCATTGTAGCATTCTTGAAGATGTTATAAACAAGTTTGGTGATCACCAAAATTTGGATTCGCCGGGTTTAATAATCAATAAAATGTTTTAACAAATTTAAATCGCGACTTCAAGTAACTAAAACTGCCAGTTAATGATAAAACGAAACGTAGATGTCTGACTTACCGACAACGATCTTTTTATTCCATTTATTTAACTTCAAATTAAATATTGTTATAAATAATTGAATGCAATACTTAATTTAACATCCCCGGAATCCTTTCATAAAAATTTGTTTCACAACCTTAATTTTTAATGATTTTTCGCTGTTTCAAGCAAAGTTTGAACTGTCAATTAATAATTGGGACACAACGATATACAAAATTATAGATCGACTTTTATTTTAATAGATATTTTTGAGCGATTCTTTTTTATTTATTAATAATAATGGTTCCAATTGATTTGTTTAAATGTAAATTAATAACGTATGAATCAATTTTATAAATTTAAAAACGAATTAACGAGTTAACTTTTTTAGTAATCCGTAAAATTTTATATCTATGTTCTTGAGTATCCAATTATACAAGTTTTTGAGTTATTTTAATTTGATTTTTTTAAACAAATTAATTGAAACATTTACCTTGTCATCCCTGAAACTGATTTGCACCAAAATTTGGATTCTCCGGGTTAAGAAATCAATAAAATGTATTAACAAATTTAAATCACAACTTCAAGTAACTAAAACTGACAGTTAATGATAAAAATGACGTAGTTGTCTGACTTACCGACAACGATCTTTTCTTTCCATTTATTTGATTTTAAATTAAATATTGTTATAAATAATTGAATTCAATACTTAATTTAATTTTTTCATAAAAATTTATTTTACAACCTTAATTTTTAATGATTTTTTCGCTGTTTCAAGCAAAGTTTGAACTGTCAATTAATAATTGGGACACAACGATATATAAAATTATAGATCGACTTTTATTTTAATAGATATTTTTGAGCGATTTCTTTTTTATTTATTAATAATAACGGTTCCAATTGATTTGTTTAAATATAAATTAATAACGTATGAATTAATTTTATAAATTTAAAAACGCATTCTCCAGGACTGTGATGAACAATTTGGGTTCAACATTGTATCAGCATTCTTGTAGATGTTATAAACAAGTTTGGTGATCAAGAATCGACTCTGTATTCTTGAGCAAAACTGACATCAACTCAATTTAAATTAAATTTTATAAATACCTCTAAATACCCTCTATTCAAGTTTAGCCGTGTTTAGAGACGTACTATTAAACCATGTTTCTAGTTCTATATCTAGAGTTAGTTTTATTTTTAGTTAAATAGAGATATACAAATGAAAATAAAAATAATAACGAATTGAGCAATAAAATTTCTTTTTATTCGGTAATAAATAAAATGTTTTTGGTGAGCGTAGGATTGCCAAAGAGTTGATCGTAGGAGTCTTAATCAAAGTTCAAAGGTCCACAGCAAGTTCCGCAGCAAGTACATCCCCCGAATCACCGCGGGGGTGGAACGAAGCGAAAATCGACGGAAAGAGAGATAGGGGGAAGCGTCGCGACGCCGGCAGACTCAATTGGAGGCGTCAACAAGTGCCTACGCAAAAATCTAATTTTATTTGTATTAATCAATCGTGACATATTAAATTAAATTTATTTATCTAATTTTAATTTAACATCTTTATAGAGGAAAGAAATTTTAATTCTGAGTCATCTTATGTGTTAAAAGTATAAAAATTCGTGGTGTGGATCCGGAGCTCCGGGGTTAGATCCGGGCTCGGGCGGCAGAGTGCGTGGGCCGACGCCCCCCTGCGACCTCCACAAGCGGCGTCGCGACGGCGCAACCGCAGCCCCGGAATCGTGAATGTAACCCCAGTCCCGTACCGCCACAACCCGTTCGGTTTTAGACGCGTGTGGAAGCCCTACGAGGGGGTCCCCGACAAGAAAAATTAATCGCGAAAGAAAATTATTTCGTTTACTCAAAATTCACCGAAAAGAAACGAAATCACTTTAAAGAAATTTAATTAAAAAGGAAGATTTTATTGAATTGAGGAAGTGGTTAAAAAAAATAAGAAAAAAGAGGCGATTCCATAATGTTTTTAAGTCGATGGGTATAGAAGAAATTAAAAAATTAGATAAAAGAGAATAGAAACGATCGTGGAAGGCGGAGTCGTCGTTGAAGGCAACAAGTGCGAATCGGCGACGATAACAAGTTCCGAATGTGTCCGCCTGCTATGATCACTTAGGGACGTAGGAAGGATGCTGGCCCTTTTGGCCGCCACCGTGTGGGTGTGCGCGCTGGCGACGCCGCAACCGCTGCACCACCTCGAAAGGGGCGCCGTCCGGCGGCCGCAGCTTCTCGTCAGCTGGCAAAAGAGGCAAGATCAACATCATAATCAACATTACCAACAAGGTCTGGGACAACAACTTAATAAACCGGAAACGCAGGTCTTCGTTAGATCTTCCAGGAATAGTCCTCAATATGACATACCTCAAATAGGTAAGAAACAAAACATTATCCTTTTTGACTCATTAATTCCACGAACGTCCATTTCAATGAATCATTCCATTTCAACCCAAATTGGATTCTAAATAAATATAGCAAAAATTAATTTAAATAATCACCACTCTCGTGTGTTGTTGGTATTTTTCGGTGTAAACTCACGTTTCACCAATTAACGCAAATTGGTTCTATTAACGCTTTGTGTTCTCGTAAAATTTACGGAAGCTGATACAAATGTTTTCTTGTTTTTCCGTAACTAATTAAAATCGGTTTTGGTCTCCAATTAATTATTAAAAAACAAAAAGCGATTGGGAGAGAAAAAATATTTTTGTTTTAATCTCAACGTTAAAATCATAACACATATTGATTGCGTTAATCGTCGTTTTTTCACCAAAACGGGGATAAAATCGCTTCACCAGGTGGTTTCGTTAAAAATAAACTAGCACGCTATTTTTCGACGCTAATTTTAACATCCTGCACGATCTTTTACTGGCGATTAGAACCAAAAAGAACTTTTTTTTTACGTCAATAAAAGTTTATTAAAGTTGGCCGATAACAAATGTACTGCAAAATTTCGATATTACGGATTAATATCGTGTCCGTTATAGCCAAAAGAATCATTTTAATGCACACAAATTCGAAATGATATCCACTCCGTTGCATTTTTTAATAATTATAAAGAGCTGGCATGGATAAGAACCAATTTCCGATGATATACAGAAATTTTCAGTGTTAACCAACTAGTTTTTAACCATTTAGACAAATTCTTCTAAGAAACAAACAAATTTGTAATTATTTAGAACAACCTGGCATAGCTATAAATCATTTTGCAATCATTTAGACAATATTTTAGACAATATCAACCAAGTTTTAATCACTTTGGAAAATTTTGCAAGGTTATAGACTTGTTTTGAACAACATTAGATGCTGTTTCATATGGTTTTGAACAACTTAGGATGGCTATAGATCATTTTGCAATTATTTAGACAAGTTATCAAACATTACCAACTAATTTTCAATCACTTTGAACAATTTTGCAACGTTATAGGTATATTACATTCGGGTTTAGCCGAACGTCTCTAAAGACGGCTAAACCCGAATGTTTCTAGTTCTACGTTTAAAGTTAGTTCTAGTGACAGTTCAAAAAAATATAGAACCTAACGCTGAATAGCAATTAAAACTAAAACTAACACTAGACCTAGAATTAGAAAGTTTTGGGTTTAGCCGTGCGTCTGAAGTTTTTGAATTGTTTTAATTTGATTTTTTTAAATAAATTAATTAATAAATATTAAAACTGTCAATTAATGATAAAAACAAAACGTAGTTATCTGAATTACCGACAACGAACTTTTCTTTCTATTTATTTGATTTTAAATTAAATATTGTTATAAATTATTGAATGCAATACTTAATTTAACATCACCGGAATCGTTTCATAAAAATTTGTTTCACAAATTAAATCAAATAAATAAATCAAATTAATTTTTCTCCGTTTCAAGCAAATTAGTACTGTCAGTTAATAATTGGGATACAACGATATAAAAATTATAGATCGAAATTATTTTAGTGAAATTTTTGAGCAATTCTTTTTTCATTTATTAATAATAACGGTTTCAATTGATTTCTTTAAGTGTAAATTAACAACGTATGAATTAATTTTATAAATTTAAAAACGAATTAACGAGTTAATTTTTTTAGTAATCCGTAAAATTTTGTATCTATGTTCTTAAGTATCAAATGATACAAGTTTTTGAGTTATTTTAGGTTGATTTTTTTGAACAAATTAATTAAAACATTTACCTTATCATTCCTGAAACTGATTTGCACCAAAATTGGGATTCGCCGGGTTCAAAAGATCAATAAAATGTTTTAACAAACTTAAATCACAACTTCAAGTAACTAAAACCATACTAAAACTGTCAGTTACTGATAAAAACGAAACGTAGTTGTCTGACTTACCGACAACGATCTTTTTATTCCATTTATTTAACTTCAAATTAAATATTGTTATAAATAATTGAATGCAATACTTAATTTAACATCCCCGGAATCCTTTTATAAAAATTTATTTCACAACCTTAATTTTTAATGATTTTTTCGCTGTTTCAAGCAAAGTTTGACCTGTCAATTAATAATTGGGTCACAACGATATACAAAATTATAGATCGACTTTTATTTTAATAGGTATTTTTGAGCGATTCTTTTTTATTTATTAATAATAACGGTCCCAATTGATTTGTTTAAATGTAAATTAATAACGTATGAACCAATTTTATAAATTTAAAAACGAATTAACGAGTTAATTTTTTTAGTAATCCGTAAAATTTTATATCTATGTTATTGAGTATCAAATGAAACAAATTTTTGAGTCATTTTAATTTGATTTTTTTAAACAAATTAATTAAAACATTTACCTTGTCATCCCTGAAACTGATTTGCACCAAAATTTAGATTCGCCGGGTTACATCATCAATAAAATGTTTTAACAAATTTAAATCGCAACTTCAAGTAAGTAAAACTGTCAGTTAATGATAAAAACGAAACGTAGATGTCTGACTTACCGACAACGATCTTTTTATTCCATTTATTTAACTTCAAATTAAATATTGTTATAAATAATTGAATGCAACACTTAATTTAATATCCCCGGAATCCTTTCATAAAAATGTATTTCACAACCTTAAGTTTTAATGATTTTTATAGTTTGAACTGTCAATTAATAATTGGGACACAACGATATACAAAATTATAGATCGACTTTTATTTTAATAGATATTTTTAAGCGATTTCTTTTTATTTATTAGTAATAACGGTTCCAATTGATTTGTTTAAATGTAAATTAATAACGTATGAATCAATTTTATAAATTTAAAAACGAATTAACGAGTTAATTTTTTTAGTAATCCGTAAAATTTTATATCTATGTTATTGAGTATCAAATGAAACAAGTTTTTGAGTTATTTTAATTTGATTTTTTTAAATAAATTAATTAAAACATTTACCTTGTCATCCCTGAAACTGATTTGCACCAAAATTTAGATTCGCCGGGTTACATCATCAATAAAATGTTTTAACAACAAGTAATTAAAACTGACAGTTAATGATAAAAACGACGTAGTTGTCTGACTTACCCACAACGATCTTTTTATTCCATTTATTTGATTTCAAATTAAATATTGTTATAAATAATTGAATGCAATACTTAATTTAATTTTTTCATAAAAATTTATTTTACAACCTTAATTTTTAATGATTTATTCGCTGTTTCAAGCAAAGTTTGAACTGTCAAATAATAATTGGGACACAACGATATAAAAATTATAGATCGACTTTTATTTTAATAGATATTTTTGAGCGATTTCTTTTTATTTATTAATGATAATGGTTCCAATTGATTTGTTTAAATGTAAATTAATAACGTATGAATTAATTTTATAAATTTAAAAACGAATTAACGAATTAATTTTTTTAGTAATCCGTAAAATTTTATATCTATGTTCTTGAGTATCGAATTATACAAGTTTTTGAGTTATTTTAATTTGATTTTTTTAAACAAATTAGTTAAAACATTTACCTTGTCATTCCTGAAACTGATTTGCACCAAAATTTAGGTTCGCCGGGTTACATCATCAATAAAATGTTTTAACAACATGTAATTAAAACTGACAGTTAATGATAAAAACGACGTAGTTGTCTGACTTACCGACAACGATCTTTTCTTTCCATTTATTTGATTTTAAATTAAATATTGTTATAAATAATTGAATTCAATACTTAATTTAATTTTTTCATAAAAATTTATTTTACAACCTTAATTTTTAATGATTTTTTCGCTGTTTCAAGCAAAGTTTGAACTGTCAATTAATAATTGGGACACAACGATATACAAAATTATAGATCGACTTTTATTTTAATAGATATTTTTGAGCGATTCTTTTTTATTTATTAATAATAACGGTTCCAATTGATTTGTTTAAATGTAAATTAATATCGTATGAATTAATTTTATAAATTTAAAAACGAATTAACGAGTTAATTTTTTTAGTAATTCGAAAAATTTTATATCTATGTTCTTGAGTATCGAATTATCCAAGTTTTTGAGTTATTTTAATTTAATTTTTTTAAACAAATTAATTAAAACATTTACCTTATCATCCCTAAAATTGATTTCCACCAAAATTTGAATTCTCCGGGTTAAGAAATCAATAAAATGTATTAACAAATTTAAATCACAACTTCAAGTAACTAAAACTGACAGTTAATGATAAAAATGACGTAGTTGTCTGACTTACCGACAACGATCTTTTCTTTCCATTTATTTGTTTTTAAATTAAATATTGTTATAAATAATTGAATTCAATACTTAATTTAATTTTTTCATAAAAATTTATTTTACAACCTTAATTTTTAATGATTTTTTCGCTGTTTCAAGCAAAGTTTGAACTGTCAATTAATAATTGGGACACAACGATATATAAAATTATAGATCGACTTTTATTTTAATAGATATTTTTGAGCGATTCTTTTTTATTTATTAATAATAACGGTTCCAATTGATTTGTTTAAATGTAAATTAATAACGTATGAATTAATTTTATAAATTTAGAAACGAATTAACGAGTTAATTTTTTAGTAATCCGTAAAATTTTATATCTATATTTAAATAAGTGTTTGAATGATTTTAATTTGGTTTTGTGATGATGTTATTGAGCTGAATTAAATAATTTTAGATTATAATCATTAAATTTGTTCTAATTAGGATTATGTTTTCGCCCCACTGAAATTCTAGCCCCATCGGGGCGTTCTCTGAGGTTAAATGTCAAATGTAACGAGGTCATATCCCTGGAATATCCTCATAAAATAATACGACTTAAATTATTATCGCGTTAAAAAAGGTTTATAAAAATCGTTTTAAATTTAAATTTGAACAGTAAAACGACATGAATGATAACGTCGGAGTCGACGGTTGTTTTTCCCGGATCTTTTCGGGACGTTGC